TAATTCATATGGCGCATGTGGCGACATCTACGAGTTAACTCAAATCCTCTCACACATTATTGTTTACCCTTACAAAAACTATAAGTCAACTATGAGTCATTATGTAGAAAAGTAGCTGATCTATTAACAAAAATCTATTTTATTTTTTTCGCTTTAACATCCTGTATCTCAGTAAGGAGCAGACTAAGACCCATTATTGTTAATGAAAATATTATTATTTTGGCCTCCTGAACGTACATTTACAATTTGGCCCATTACTTATGAATCACCCTGTATAACACATCTCAATCACACGTTTGCACAATCGTTTTTCAGCCCAGCAACAAACTTTTCCCTTGTATTTCCGGCTACTTATCGGGGCAATATTTTGGTTATCTAGAAAGATAGCGAAAAACTAAACACACGGTTGGAAAGCTTGGTCTTTTCTATATCTTAAAAAACCATGTTTTCGTCCGCCGATATATTAATAATAAGAACAGAAAAAAATAGGAAACGACACAGGTTCGGTTCGGTTCGGTTTAAGATAGAGAAAAGACCAAGCTTTCCAACCGTGTACTTAGTTTTTCGCTATCTTTCTAGATAACGAAGAATGGGTCCTAGAAGTAGGTGGAAATATAAAGGAAAAAGTTTGTTGGTGAGCGGTTTGTTGCTACCGTCTCGCCGGTGAAAATGTTAGTTTTTGCTCAATATGTTTTTTCTCAATATTCTATCAGATTTTCGTCGTTCTGTAAATACAGGTCTGATAAATAAATTTTCAAATTTACTACGTCCACGAAAATCTTGTAGCGCAAGTTCAAAAGAAAGACGAAGTTGTGAAAATTGTTCTGCCAAAGCTAGACCCCACTCAAAATGTACTGCGTGCAATGTTTATTTATGTTGTAATGAAAGAAAGAACTGTTTTTCTGAATGTCATAATGTGATTTAGATAAAGCAAGTGTTACTTATTTTCTAACGTAATAAAAAATGTATTATTTTTATATTAGCAATAATAGCTTTGATTATATATATATATAGATTGTATATATAATCAAAGATAATAGTATACTGAAAATATATTTTAATACTTGACTGAAATTACTTGACGAGATTGCATATTTTGCTAAAATTGATTCCAAAGGCCTCTACTGAGTGTATTTTGATAACGTTTTAATTCTGTCACAAAGTTTCAAAATTTTTGATTTATTGGGACACAAAGGGTTAAACGGAAATCAAATGTTAAACCTTCAACACTTAACGAATTACATCGAAAGCTGTATTGAAGTAAATTCCAAAAATTTACTTGAAAACAAAATAATTTAAATCGTATAAAATTTAACGTAATTCTCATTAAAATAAAAATCTTCCAGCCGTTAAATGAGGTTAATGCGGTTAGATAAAGATTACGAATTTCAACTTTACATTTAAATACAATAGTTTTAAATTAAACAGCTTAGTATTCAACTTGTTTTTCGTTAACATATAATACAATGACTCAATTCAACGCACTTTCATTAAAAGATTTAACCCGAACTAAAATTAATCTAAGCATATCTCAACGTGTACATGTGTTAGTACTAGTTCGATATTTACCGTGGAAGTTAGTATTAGAGTTGTGGAACACGTGGTTTGAGGATAATTGGAATCAACTGGGAACACATAAAAACTGTTACGATAATGTGGACGTAATAGACTTATTTAATTTTAAAATGAATCATATGATTCAATGCGCCCTATTTAGGAATATAGAAATTTTCAGGTAAATTAGAAATTAAAATATAGTCTATAAAGTTAAATGAAATTTTAATAATACTTTAGGGATGAACTTTTCAACCAAATAAATGAGAATGGATTAGTATGCGCGTGGATGACATACATTGAAACTAATCACGGACGTGTATGTGCGAATTGTTTTGAGATGTACGATTGGATTCTTATAATAGAAATGGATGTTTTAGAAAATAAAGATGAATTTAAACCAATTGAAAAGGTCGTTAGATTAGAACATAAAAGAATCAATAAAAACAAGTTCATAGATTTAGGGGAAAGTGAAATTATGTGGTGTGCGTTTTGCTTAAAACGTCCTAATTTTAAATTAAATTTAAGAGGATCAAATTCTGAAGTGGTTCATAGATTTTTAGCTGAAGAATAGAAAATAAGAAATACTATTTTGAAATAAAAATATGCTTGGTTGCATATAAATTCAAGCAATTGTTTGATATTTCTAAATAACCCAAACTTCAATATCTTCTTATATCAAAAAAGTGAATTAAATATGAACTTTAAAGTTATATGTTTGAAATAATAATAGGTAAATCTTAATATATGTAGGGGTTGGAAATTTAACAAATAAAACCAATTACATTCAGGCGACCAATTTAATCAGAATAAATTAAAATTCAAAATTAATATAAATATTAGACATACGTCTCCATATCTTAAAAAAAAAGCCCGTATCGAGGGGCGTGTAGCCCCTCGGGCACTTGTATTTTGGGACATAAATATCGATCTTGGCGTCCGCTAAAATTAAAGATAGAAATCAATTAAATGAAATTAAACCCTTGTAGTGAGACTTACTTTTAAATGGGGAGATAATAGCCTTCTCATTTAAAACCCAAATTTTAAACCCAAAATTTAAACTAAACTTTAACAATTTAGAGCTCACCTCTGTAACTATTCATGTCTGAATCTTAACTGAAAATGCTGTAAAACGATATTTCACAAGGTTTTATGCAGGAAACCCTTATCAAATGTGGTTTCTTAAGGAAAAAAACTTGGTTTTACAGTTTTAGAAATTTTAAAATTATTAATGTACGATTTTTATTAAAACGATATTGCATAACGTTTTATGCAGGAAACCCTTATCAAATGTGGTTTCTTAAGGAAAAAAACTTGAGTGACATTCCATAACACAAAGGTTTGAAAATTAAATTTTATTTAAAAAAATTCACATCGATATAAAGAAATTTTATGATATATCTTTATTTGATGTCCAAGAATTATGCGATGAATCGAATTCCAACCATTTTAGGTACAACCTATCCTACTTCCTTTTCAACGAGGTAAACGTTGGGTGAGCGGTCCTTCGAAGTTCGAATTCGTAAAAAGCGCCTTTAATCGGCTGTCCACGAATGTCCACCAATAAATATGAAATATCCCAGTTGGGCAAATATCCTTTACCAAACACATGTTTATGTTTACTGATACGGACGGTATCTCCAACTCTAAACTTTCCTCTGCCGGCAATTTTAATATGATTGTACACTGTGTTGAGAAGTTTATTCTCCACAAATTTCGAATTTATTTCAGATGGTTTCATTTTCGTAGTTGTATGTTTTGTACCACTCAAACCAACATACAACCGAATATGACCGACATGATATATATTTATATATATATTTAGCACATTTGCGCAAAAACAGGCAGCAATTGACTCCCAAATTGCTTCAATCAACAGCAACCTAAATAACAACAGTAATAAATTCCCAAATCACCATTGCTATGCATACTGCATTTATCGTCGTAGCAGATCTCCATCTTCATCTTACCGAACATCTACAAGAAGCCCATCACGCGGATCTAATAAGATAGATAAGTGCAGATTATCACACTAAAATATGGCGATTGTGCCCGCAACTGCCAAGGTAAATGGTGCAAATTTTATTATTTAGTTATTTTGAGAATAAACCCAATTCAAAGAATTCCAAATTAAAAATCAATGAGTTAAATTCAAGACTATTTATTTATGACATTATAAATAACTTAAATTTTTTTATTGATTCGGGAGCAGAAATATCAGTTTTACCAGTTAACCTATTTCCGTTCAATAAACAAAACTCCACATTCGTTTTATCAGCAGCGAATGGATCAGTTATCAAAACATGTGGTAAGAAGTTACTAACAGTTAGCGCTGATTTCTTGGGCAAGTACAATACCTTAATAGATATTAAACATCAGCGAGTTATCGATTGTGAAACAAATCTTTTGGCAATAGGCACGTACTTCTTCTGCTCAACCACGCCTTTTCTCTATTGAAACAAAATTTACTCAAGTACTAAAAAATTTTCCAAATTTAACTTCTTCCCCCGATTTCTCCTTTCCTGTAAATCATCAAACAACACATAAGATAATAACTAACTCTCATTTGCATTTCAACCGGCCTCGAAGACTAGATTTCCGAAAACTTTTTATAGCTAAAGAAGCTGTCTATCATCTTCATCAGTAGCATCTCCTTTGCACATGGTCCCTAAAAAGGACTCCGGAGATTGGCGCCCTTGCGGAGACTATAGGCATCAATGAAGTTCTTATTGGCCTAACTTTCCTTTTTGTCTATTTAGATGATGTTTTAACAGCTAGTAAATCCAAAGATGAACACTTAGAACATCTATGAATTCTTTTTGAAAGATTATAGAACAGTTATAATATAAATATACAACCAAATAAATGTATATTTGGCGTTTTCTCATTAGACTTTTTAAGTTATACAGTATCAGACAAAAGGAATTCGACCTTCTCAGTCAAGAATAGACATCATATCCAAGTTTTCTCTACCAAAAACAGTAAAAGAATTGCAGCGTTTCTTAGGAATGTTAAATTTTTATCATCGTTTCATACCCAACCTATCAGATATCTTATTCCCACTACATAAACTTGCAAATAAATTATAACTTGAAAAAATCAAAAACATTATACTCTGGACAACAGAACTCTCTGGTCAATGTTCCACTTCTCTCACATTCTTCTCCAACAGGATCGTTTTCTCTATATACTGCTGCTTCAGAAACAGGAATAGGAGCTGTTCTTTCCCAAACTAACAATAGAACTACTTCACCAGTTCTTTTCCAAAAAAATGTCTAACAGCCAAATGAAGTATTCCATCTTTGACAGAGAACTCTTAGCTATGTATTTCGCGGTTAAACATTTCTTACAAGGAAACCAATTCAAAATTTTCACAGATCACAAACCCTTAATCACCGCGCTCTTTTCGAAAACAGAAAAAACTCCTAGTCAAACAAGATACATTAACTAAATAGTTAAGCTAACCTCTAAAATCTCTTACATTAAAGGAAAATGCAACACAGTGTCGGATACTTTATCAAGAATCACTATCGATTCTTTAACATCTATTTATCCCTCTGAACAAACAATTCAAGAAACGTTTTCAAGTTTAAAACCAGTACCCATTACCTTCCATTCAAAAATTAAACCTTTCATTCATAAAGATCTATTTGTTTCAGACTTTGTTTTATTAAAATTAAATCATGTTAAGCCTTCCCTTGCACCAATGTTTGAAGGCCCTTTTAAAGTTATTAAACGCTGTCAAAAAAACTTTGTTATTTTAAAAGATAACACAGAATTATCAGTTAGTATTGATCGATTATCGCCAGCCTTTATAGCTAACGATAAACTTGAAATTGCTTCCAATTAAAACGGAATTCCAAATAAATCTGTAAGAATGCGTTTTCAAAATTAAAATATTTATAACTACGTAATTTACATTTTATTGTTGACCTTATTTCTTCTTGGAAGGGGGAGTATTTGTAGCGTCATGTCTGCAAAGTCCATTCCCTAAATCGAACAAGATGCCACAATATATCTTTCCTATTTTCAAATAAAAATATATCTTGGCAACGAAAGTTTATGTCCAGAGGCAGAAAGAGGACGACCAACAAGGGAATGTTTTCCGAAGACTCGATGCGCCAGGCAGTTTTGACTGGTGGGATAAATGGGTATAAAATTTCACTCAGAGAAGCTGCTTTAGAATATAACGTCAAGTATCAGACGCTCTTTAGCTATGTAAAAAAAAGCACGAAAGAACCCAGATTTACCTATTCGTATGACTCTAAACTATAAATGTTGTTAACTTGCTCCAAAATGTGTTATGGAAAATGAACAAAAAATTTTCGAGTACTAGCCTACGAAATAGCGAAAATTAATAAAATAAAAATTCCAGGCTCTTCGGAAGATAACAAGAGAGCAGGTTAATTAATTGGCTGCAGGGATTTTTAAAACGTCAACCTCAAGTGAGCATTCGTCAACCAGAAGGTTGCAGTATCTCGAGGGCAACATCATTCAATAAGCATAATGTATTTAGATTTTTCGACAACTTAGAAAAGGCTTACAGATGTTCCGACAAATTTGCTGATGGAAGACGTATATTTAATCTTAACGAAACAGGAACAACCACGGTACAAAAACCAAAGAAAATATTGGCTGAAAAAGGTCAAAAACAAGTTAGTGAGTATACGCAAGCGGAAACAGTTTGCCTCCAGCTATGATATTCCCCCGAAAACATTTTAAAATGGATATGATTGTCGGCGCTCCGCCCAGGTACATTACGTCTTGCCTGTACAAGTGGGTGGATGAGTTATGAAACATTTTATAAGTCACAACAGTTCCTCCAAAGATAACCCCAATATCCTTATTTATGACAACCACGAAAGTTATTTTATTAAGTTATTTTAACTAAAATAACTTATTTACTAAGTTATTTTATTAAGTTGACAATTAAGACTTTGAACTTAGCCAAAGAAAAGGGGGCACTATAATCACCTTACCGCCTCATTGCAGTAATAAACTACAACCCCTTGATGTCTCTATGTTTTATTCCTTCAAGTCACATTATAATACAGCCATCGACTCTTGGTTGATACACCATCCTGGAACTCCAATGAGTATTTATAAAGTTGCAAGCTCTGTAGGCGTAGCTCATCAAAGAGTTATGACGCCGGCGAATATCATATCGGGATTCAAAAAAACCGGAATTTACCCATTCGAACGCATATTATGCGGAAAAAGAAACCAATAATAAAAAATTGTAACTTTAAGTTTTCGGTTGAAGATTCTGATAAAGTTGTGGTTTGGCCTCCGGCTTTAGATCCATCTACATTTGAGGAATTGGATCGAGATCCTATACTTGGTGACTTCGTCCTAGTAACATTCAAAACTAAAACAAAAGTATTTTATATCGGGCAAGTTGTTAATGAAAAAGGTATTGAAAACGATGTAGAAATAAATTTGTTGAGAAAAAGTTTGAAAGATGAGCGGCACTTCCTACCAAAACCCAGTTGTTTGAGAAAAATAAAAAGTCTCCAGCCATCTTTCAAATTTGAAGTAGATTTTACGTTAGTGAACTTGCGTTAAAAATTGATATTGTTTGATGTTGTTGTATATTCAACAAAATTCCGTTTTTGATTTGTGATAATGTGTTCTTAAATAAAAATTAAATACTATTTTTTGTATCACTGTGGCCCACCATCTCCTACTGCTATTTTATCATATCGAGCAAATATGAAATATGTAGTTAAACTTTAAAGTAATTTTCCTCGAAAATTTTCTTATGTAACCAATATTCATCTTTTATTATTGACTGTATACTAGATTTAGAAAAAAATCCTCTTTAAACAGCGAAATTCATCAAATTTTCATATTTTCGTATTTCCTCGATATTGACGCATCTGAGAGTAAAAATGAAAGAGAGCAATATTATTAAGAATAAAATTTGCTACAACTTTTGTTGGTAAAGTTTTATTGTAACATGCCCCGATTCTCAAATGTTATTAACAACTTGTAATACAAGGAAATTCATAAAATTTTCATATTTTAGCATTTTTCTCGATATCTATACATCTTGGGACAAAAGTGGAAGGGAACAATATTGTTAACAATAAGATATGCTACAACTTTTGTTGGAAAAGTTTTTTTGTGAAATGTTCTAAATCCCAACTGTTACTATTAGCAACTTATAAAACAACGAAATTCATAAAATTTTCATATTTTTCTCAATATTAATACATCTGACAGCAAAAGTGGAAAAGAGCAATATCAGTAAGAATAAAATTTGCTACAATATTTGTTGGTAAAGTTTTATTGTAACATGCCCCGATTCGCAAATGTTATCATTAACTTGTAATACAAGGAAATTCATAAAATTTTCATATTTTCGTATTTTTCTCGAAATCTATACATCTTGGGGCAAAAGTGAAACAGAACAATGTTGTTAATAATAAGATGTGCTACAACTTTTGTTGGAAAAGTTTTTTTATGAAATGCTCTAAATCCCGATTGTTTCAATTCGAATAGTTTTTCTATTACATTCCGTTTCATTTTATATTGTTCTGTTTTATCTTTTTTCTTATTAATATATATTTTTATGCTAAATTTAACGGGAATTTTATGAATTTCTTTTAAAATATACCAAACCCAAATTTACTGCTGTCCACTTTCAAGATGGTGCTGTTTCTAACTTAATAACAAAATAAACAACTTTATTTCAAAAACTTTTTATTTAGCATCTATTCAGATTCGATGACCTAAATCTAGATTAAATTTGCTACGAAATGGTATTTAAATCATTTTGATATCTCAATTATTTCTTTAAATACGGTCTTTTTTTAAGTTCGGAATAATTAAGTTCGCACATAGCTTTGCAATAATAGTAATGATAGTTATTTCAAAATTATGTTCACTCAATATTCTTCCATGTTGGGTTTTACGTAGTTCTAAATGTTTCCGGTTACCTTTTTGGCTTCATCTTTTATATATAAATATTTTCAGGGTCTTAAATCCAGATTAAATTTGCTACAAAAATTAATCTCAATTATTTTTTATTTACAAGAAAATAATAAATGACACTTTCATTTCTAAAGACTAAGAGTAAATCTGGTTTAACTCGTTCATTAATTTTTGGGTTGTTAATTTGATTTTTTTCTTGAATACAACTCTTATTTAGTTATTTTGGGAAAATGTTGTGTTGTTGTTGCGTTATGAAAATGCTGCTTTTATTGTTGTTTTAGTTTTGGTGGTGGTTGCGAGCAGCGTGGTGGAATTTCTTGTAGACGATATGGTGACGTTTAGCTGTATTGGCGTTGGGTGTTTTCAAAATTTTTAAAATAAACGAAAATATATTTATACTCTAATTTAATCAATACAGTTAGTTACCGTTTTGTACTTCCTGTAAGTAGTTAATAGCCTCAGTTATACTCTCATTGGTTGAATTATAAATTTTTTCCACTGAAAATGAAATTAACCTTAAAAATATTTACTACTGTTATTATTATTAGTTTTCTTTTCGGAGCGATAAATTCTTACCTGCCTCACGTTGACTATTCGTTAAATTTGCAGTAGTTAGAACTTCAACGATTTTTTCTGAAGCAAAATTGAAATACATAATTGTAATTGGTAAGAATAATTCAAAATTAATTAAAATTAGTTTTTTACATACTTAATAATACTAATACTCTATGAAGAAGAATTATTACAATCTCAGTTTTGCCAGGAGTTAAGTCCTCAACTGTATTCAGTGCTTTGTCTGAAAAAGAAATAAGTGTAACTTTTTGGTAAAAAAGTACTATTTTGTACTTACTAATATCTATAAGTAACACCTCTAGCGTAGGCAATAATAATTTTGTTGCTACTTCAACTTTTACAATGTCCACTACATAAAAAAATAATACGCATAAATATTGACTAAAGAATTATTTAATAAATTTACGAAATTATTACGTACCCAATTGTGAAACATTGCCATTGATATTCCCCACTAAAATGTAAATATAAAGATTTTAATTGTTTTTCAATAAAAAATGTTAAACATAATACTTACATACTAAAGTAATGTCATCAGTAGAACTTGCATTTTCGATTGGACTAGTAGAATTTTGGCCATCAATGATTTCTATGAAATAAATTACCAAAATGAAGAACAACAAAAAAAATCTTACCAAAAACGGCGAAACCAAAAAGGTAACCGAAAACACTTAAAACAACAAAAATAACTTTCATTTTAGTTGGTTTTTAATAAACAATTTACTTCCCAAACCAACCATTTTATACAAAACATCGAGCAAGAAAAATTTTAAGCGAAAACATTCCTGTTAAGTGCAAACCGATTACGAAAAAATGAAAATTGGTTTGTTTTTGCATTTCGCAAGCGACATCGCTTTCCTAATGGAAAACGAACATTTTTCAGTAAAAGCTTTTGCACGAAAGGCAAAATTCCATCGCCGCCTCCCATCTACCTTCGAGCGGGAGCGCCCGATTTTATAACATGAGCAACATGTCATAAATTTTATGATAAAAAGCTCAACTATCATGAATAATACTTATATATCGTATATATAATCTGTTTTTTATTTAAATCAATTGTCAAAGTGTCGTCAAGTTGGTATTGAAAGTAAAAGCGCATGTCGTGACTTTTACTTTAATTGTGTGCCACCACTGTCTATCAAATTTGCTAAGATTGATTAAAAAACAATTTTCATATAATTTTTTTGCTGCTAAATCTACCATAAAAATGTTAAGAAAGGGTGGAACGGGATGTCAACTGTCTAAACGCGAAAGTAACTCTATAATTAGGTATTGTGAAGAAGTACAGACGGAGACACCAAATACGAATTGAAAATATATACAGTGTGTCCCCGGATTGTGTCCCCGTAAGGTATAACACTAGTCTACAAAAAAAAAATCATAAAATGTACATTTGACGCCACTGTATTTTTCTTATGTAGTTTGGTCCCCTAAACTCAAAAATCACATTTAAAATTTTTTCTATGGATACGTTTTGGAGCTATGAATTTTTTTTTTTTTTAGGNAATTTTGTGTGCAGAAATAGTTTACAATGAACCAAAAGTATACAATCCACAATCATTTCCAGAGTAGCCAACATTATTTATTTGTTAACTAATCGAAATTAATACTTAAAGGTATTAACATGGATTGTTGTCATTAAAATCTGTATGATAGCTCCAAAACTGAAACAGAGTAAAAAAAAACACTGTGCATGAAAAATCATCACATTAAACCGAAGAATCATTATCCATAACCAGTTCGAATCTAGATGTCACCATTTTCCAAAAATGAAGCTATAATCTCGAAAAATGTCACAGTGAAAGGTTTATACATACATACATACAGTGCTAGCGTAAAGTAACCCCCCCCCTGTTTAACTTCTGAACAGATTGAGATATCAATATGAACAAAAAAACGTCAGTTTCTATATTTTATCAGCACAAATATTTTCTTATGGAAAATTTTGGTATCACTTTTAGTTTTTCCGGAAAATGGAACAGCTTTGTTTTTTTAAATGGAACACCCAGTATATTATGGTATCTTTCGAAAGAATAAAACAATACGAATTCAACGATACCTCACAATCAAATATCGGTTTATTAGTTTTTTACATAAAAATTAAACAAAATGCGGAATTTCGCCGGAAAAACCAACGTATCTTCGTTGACTACCTGTCGAGATACAATGGGCCAGATAAATGGTGGACGGTCAGTTAAAGGTCGGTCTACGCTCGGATTAAGCAGGGTTAAAATCAGCAATTCTTTTAGAATGTTTTTATGAAACAATCAATACAAGAAAAGGATAAAAAGAAAGTTCTTTTTAAAACTTCTAAGAAAAAATTGTCATAACAACAATTTTAAAGTTTGTAGGTACTTTGAAATTTTGTATTTAAGGCAGCATGCAAATATTTTCCTTCATTTCTATCTTTGAATTCTACCCGACCAAGTATAACCAAAGAAAGGCGAGATCAAAATGGCTAGAAGGAGTTTAGAGCACAATATCGAAGCAATTTTAATATTCGCTCGTGCTGACAGAAATCTACATGAAACAGGGCGACAATTTAAGGAACGATTTCCTGAACATCCAATTAGTCGAAAATATTTAAGAGAGCTTGTGAATAAGTTTTTGGAAACTGGAAGCGTCGAAGACCGCAAAAGAACTGGTCGTCAGATATTAACAGAAGTATTTAATGTGCCCATGATGTCGTCTGCTGCTATCGCATCAACGTGTGATGTGTTAAATATTTCCGCGTCGTTGTTGGAAGACGTGGAAATACTTAAAGAAGAATAAATATCATCCATTTTAAATAAAAATGCTTCATGAATTAACAGAAGATGACCCTGATATAGAAGAACAGAATTTTGTGAGCTAATGACAAATATGGTTGAACGAAATCGATTATACTTGAAACATATTTGTTTCAGTGATGAATGTACTTTCTTTTTGGGTGGAAAATTGCATCGGCGTGATGTTAATCCACATGAATATCGTGACGTTATCACTCAATTTCATTAGAAAGTAAATGTTTTTTTTTCAAGACTTTTGCAAATTGTACAACAGAATTCTGACGATTTTGAAATGGAACTAGTGTTTCATCAAGACGGAGCACCTCCACATTATGCGCCAATGGTACGAAATTATCTTGATAAAAATTTTAATGGACAACAAGATCACCAGATCTGACACCTTTAGATTTCTTTTTATGGGGTTATTTAAAATCCAAGGTATATGAAATTCCGTTGGGTAGTATTGAGGATTTAAAACAAAAAATTATTGACGTCTGCCAAAATATTGATCACATGTTAAGCCGTGTGAGAGAGGAAACACTACAAAGATGGTACCACTGCCTAGAAGTTCAAGGTAATCATATCGAACAATTTACTTAATATTTGATTCTTAATAAATAAAAAATTCTTTTATTATTCAATAACAACACTAAGCAAATTTTTCAACCGTTACCTATACTAGCAAAATCTTTAATAAGAAAATTTCATTTCTTATATTGACTTTTTTTCTTTATAAATATTTTTTGATAAAATATGATTAATTCATAAATTTAATATACTTCCAAACAACTTTTATTTCATTTCTAAAAAAAATAAGTAATTGAACTTGCAATTTTAAATCCGTCTTAGCTCGAGCGTAAACCGACCGTCCACCATTTACCTGGCCGATTGCATTTCGACAGGTAGTCGACGAAGATACGTTGGTTTTTCCGGCAAAATTCCGCATTTTGTTTAATTTTTATGCGAAAAACTAATAAACCGATATTTGATTGTGAGGTACCGTTGGATTCGTATTGTTTTCATCTTTCGGAAGATACCATAATATACTGGGTGTTCCATTTAAAAAAACAAAGTTGATCTATTTTCCGGAAAAACTAAAAGTGATGGCAAAATTTTCCATAAGAAAATATTTGTGCTGATAAAATATAGAAACTGACGTTTTTTTGTTCATAGTGATATCTCAATTTGTTCGGAAGTTAAACAGGGGGGGGGTTACTTTACGCTAGCACTGTATATGGTTAGACACCAGAAACTGATAAACTTATTCATATATAAATTGTAGCTCTACATATTCTCATCCGAATAAAATTACAAATAATCACGCTGATTAAACTAGTCCACAAAAAAAAATTCATAAAATGTACACTTAACGCCACTGTATTTTTCTTATTTAGTTTGGTTCCCTAAACTCAAAAATCACATTTAAAATTTTTTGTATGGTTATACGTTTTGGAGCTATAATTTTTTTTTTATTTTAGGGGTAAGTTGACTATTTGCAACATATCTCGAGTTAGATAAATTAAAGAATATTGTATAGCCAATAAATGTTATTAATACTTTTTCCAATCGTCCATAATATGTAAAAAAGGGAATTTTTTTAGACAAAATGTGAACCAAAAAATCATTCAATATCCGTGGAGAGTCGCAGAAAAAGTCTTTTTTATCTTCTACGTGAAGTTTCCTCTTTTTAGAAGACAATAAGGTACGCAGAATGAGAATCTGTGGAGAAATTACTAAAAATTATGATCTTCTATATGAGAGAGCACAGCTTTTTCTTGTACATGAAATTCCACGCAACTAGACCGTTAGAAATTTTCAGGTTTCATGTTTCGTACGTTTCTGAGATTTTACGTGTAGGAGCTATTCATCTCAATCTTTCGATTTAAAATAATGTCAAGATGGCTGCCACATCCAGTGCACAGGAATAAGTAAGCGGAACAGTAGCGTACAATTTCGTTATTTTAAACGGAATGCTACAATTTTTATTGGATATTTGAATTGAAAAACAGTTTTTTTAATCAAAAATCACAATACAAAATTCACTCAAACGCCTTGGAGAGCTGCAAAAATCTACTTTTACAATAGGAATATGCCCAGGTTTTTCCTGTTACTATATTTTTCGGTATTCCTATATACTTTTCGGTATGTTGTCGTTTTACTAAGTGAATTAAGTTTATCTGAAAAAGGATATTTGAGATACCAGTACATTTTATTATTCTTGGAAAACTATCGGTTTTAGAACAAAGGATCTTCGCATACAGGTTTGTCCCATCTTTTTTTACCTACTTGAACAATACTAAAATAAATACATTTCTCGTGGACAAATGAAAAGGTTTTTTCTCGGAATGTTAAGAAAAAAAGTCAGCATCATAAAAACCACCACTGTATCGTAAGGGAAGGTTTCGTGGAGAGTAAGATTGCTAACGTTATTCATTCGAGTTCCATATTCAGCGTTAAACAGTTGTTCACAAATTGTATCGTGTAATATAGTTTAATTGTATACTTGATTATAAAATGAGTAAAAGACAACGAGTTTTTGAGTGTGAAAACGATTCCCTTAATTTCTGTTATGTGTGTTTTGAATATGCCGTCAAGAAAACATGCGTAAATTTACTAATTCGGTACAAGAAAATTATCTCCAATATTTTGGAATAGCAGCTGAGAATCTTGAAGAACAATGGACACCAAGTTTTTTATGTCTTAATTGCCATATAAAACTTAGTGGATGGGCTTCCGGCACGCCAGGATATGTATTTCATGTTAAAAATAACTTATACTTTATAACTTTTTTTAACGTTAGGTGGTACATGAATGGGAGTGGTACTCTCCAATGATTGGGAGAGAACCACTTTGTCGTACAACCGACTGCTACTTTTGCCTAAGTAAACAAACCGGAATTGGAAAAAACATGCGATGGGTTTGTGCAAA